CAACCTTAGGGGAGAAACGTTGTATTGCAAGAACTGACTGGTAAGCTAAGGCGATACTGGCAGTATGTAGACAAAGACACAAACGCACAGTTCAAGACATTTATTGTGGCGAAACGTTTCTTTAGGAAATGTCTTGACTATCTACTACCAATGTCTATTTCTGTGCACCTCGCTGATGCATTCTGCACTTGCAACAACTGCCACAACTCTCATCAACACCCTCCCAGCTACAACCCTCACAACTACATCTGACTTATACCCCCACTACCAGTACCGGTGTCACTACCCCTAATAGAGCCCCCACTATCACAACTACTACAGCCATCATGACTCTCATCATTACTACCATCACTACTAAAACCACGATCACAATCACCAACCCCCACCATCACCGCCACCTTATCACCTTCCTTCCTTCTCTTCTCATCTTTCCCATTTCCCTCGCGTCTCTCACTCCTTTAATAATACCCAAAATATTGAAAAGCCTTCCCAAGTTTTCTAACTTTAAATATTAGTGGACCACTTTACAATGATTTTCGTATAACTAGCCACTGAAAAGAGGCAAATTACTCAAGTATTTTGCTTAAAGAACCATGTAATAACAACTGTTAAGAAAGGAGTCTTTTACGATATAATTCTTTTAGGTTATATATGTTTGTATGTACATATATATGTATATCAGGCAGATACCGCGTCTCCATGCACATTGCACAAGCAATGGACGCTATATATCAAGTGATTCAAGCCATTACCCACAGTAATGTGGTGGTCCAGGGAATACAGTATCCACCTAGAGCTTCCCAGACGCCGGTTTGCTTCCCAGGTAATATGTGGGCTGTTGGAAGCAAATAAGAAGCTCGGAGACCAGTGGAGTGTACTAATTGTATTGTACACCCATGAGGGCCTTGAAACCCAGTGATGTGCTCGCCAAGGTTTGTTATCGGGGGGTTGAATTTTAGCCTCTTGGTCTTGCCTGATATCTTAAGCTACAAATCGCCTGCATTATCGGTTTCTAACTTACAGAACTCTATCGTTTCTTCTTTTGAAACTGTATACAGTGTTTGCCTCCGCCGCTTTCTCAACTAGCTTACATGAGGTGACAGAGTTAATTGACCCGAATGCAGTCGAACTGTGAGTTGGTGTAGTTTAAATATAGTAACCACGTCTGTAAACAATGATGCAGTATTCTTGCTCCTGCACTGATACAATGAAATACACCATACAGAACAGTACAATCGTACTCATCTAGTAGTGTATATCCTGTTGCCTGAACAGCCCTTCTCTGTGTTCCATTCTGTGCCACGTTTCCTGAAGCATGTTATCGTTCCAGCTACTTGCCCATTCTCCTCCCTTCCATCCTTCGCCTCCCTTCTCTTTTCATACTGAAGGATATGCAGTATTATATAAATAAAAGACATAATAAAATGATGAGGTGCTTATGTCTCCTGCTTCCAGCCGCATCTGCAACCGAAATGAGAAAATAGAGTTTCGTGGAAATGTTTTCTTAGTATAAGGGACTCCAAATGATGTTAGAATGTGCGTCTGAGTCTTGCTTTTGAGGGGGAGAACGGCCCCACAGCCCTGGTAGAATGAATTTAGTGACCTGAAAAGATAAACTGGCGAATACTCGGTGTCTCTGTTCAGAATGATTTCAGGCACAGCCAACAGAAAATTAATTTAAATGTCTGTTTTGAGCAGCTCAGCAGAGGTACAGAAAGTACCTCATGGCATGTAAGTGTGTGTGTGTGCGTGTGTGTGTGTGTGTGTGTGTGTGTGTGTGTGTGTGTGTGTGTGTGTGTGTGTGAGACGGCTCACAGACCTGGCCACAACACGAGGAACACATCATCATCAGCAGTGGCAAATAACTTGTGTTTCAGAAGGCGCTGAGGACCTTGCCTCGCAAACAGAGATCTCATACGGGTCCCTCAAAGGAGGTACAACCACTACCTTTTTCAGGGTAAGAATATAACCTGCTTGTCCTCTGTCTCTGTTTCTCACCGGCAAGAAAACATTTACGTTGTCCTAGAGTTGGCCAGACATTTTTATATTTTTTCTTCCTTCAACTAGAATATATATGCTTTCATTTGCAAATAAATGTTTTCGGGAATGACTGTAGTTGAGAAATGCTTCGCATGGATTTGTTTTACGACTTTATGTTCATGTATTATTTTTATTACAGTTTTACTGAACTACTCTCTTTATTGATGAGTGACAAGACGACAGTTTCTCTTTTTTTTTTCCCCCAGAGTAAAAAAAAAATCCTACATTTCACATTGTACTCAGATTTTCTCCAGCAGAGTAAAAAAAACTGGATTGTATTCAGGAATATTTTCTCAGTGACTTTTAAGTATGTCGCATAGAAAAATAACATTATTTACCAGTAGATAGAAAAGTGTTTAAGTTTACTTTCTCTGTTCATGCACAAACGCGTCGGGATTTGCATGGGTCTTGCAAAAACAAAACTGTGTACGCCTGGATGGTCTTAGGGAATGTAGTCTCATTTCTTCTAGCTTAGTAAAATAAGTTAATTTTATTCACCTCTGATATGTTTCCTAACAGGACTGGAATTTCAAGGTAATACACAAAGAAGCATGGTTTTCTGAGCATGTTATTTGTTGTAATGTTTGTGGAAGTTCTCTATTAGAGCTCGACCTGCATGTGTGTGGTGTGTGTATTGCAGACGACGTGGAGGACCTGGCTACTCAAACCGAGATTCCCTACGGCATCCAGGCGTCTGGCTCCACTATGACCTTCTTCAGGGTATGTGCTCACTTCCTCATCCTCCTCCATCTCTCCGTGACCTTTCAGATTTGGCGATCCCTCCCTCACCATTGCGTTTTCCCCTACCTCCTCTTTTTTTCACGTCTATATTTCGAACTTTCTTATGTAACAGTTTCTTTTCACCGCTTCCTCCTGCTTTTTCTTTTTCTTCTTACCACCCACCTAAATTTCTTCTACTTCTCCTCCTCCTCTCGAGCTTCTCCTTCTCTTCTCCTCTTCAATTTCTCGTCTTCCTACTTTTCCATTTTATCTTGATCTTCCTCTATTTCTCCTCAATCTATGCTTCTTTCACGTCCTTCTTCTCTGTTTTCCCTGGCCTTTGACCTTTGGTCTCTCCCTCACCATTAGTCCTTGTCCGTACCTCTTTTTTGTGCTCCTTATGTCCCTATATTTCCAACTTTTCCACTTTGGCAGCTTCCTTGTAAATAGTAGAGTATCTTATGCATATTGATGAAGCTGTAGTGAGGCTATAAAGGTGATGTACAACCTGGCTTGCGACTTTGAGTTCCCAGCTAGCGACGGGGTAAGGGAATGCTAGCCACGTTGTATACATAGCTTGCATAAGCTTAGGTATGTGATCTCCTTTAACTTACATTACCTCCAACAGCTTACCACAGGTGACTCATCCAAATTGCTTGGAAAGGCCTTTCAATTTGTCTCTGACGACCGACCTGTTATGACCTCCATTAACTCTACGTACCCTAGTTAACTCACTCAGTATAGCGAAAATACTCATAATAAATTTGAAGGAAGATTCGCATAACCATTCCTGGAGCAATTCGCAATTATTCCACAATACGGAGAGAAAACTCTAGGCTACTTTTCGGTCCGTCTGGAATGATTAGCCTAATAATGGTGCATTTTGACCTCAGAACTGCGGCTTATTTTGCAAAACATCAAATTAAACTTCGGGTAGATGACAAAGACACATGCCACAGTTTATACCATCGTTTTGACAAAGTTTCGTTTACGCTGTTACCTTTTTTTTGTATCCACATGTCGGCTGTATTAAACGAGGTATACAATATCATCAAATGTGAAAAATGAACACAGATGCAACGTTGGGGAAACAAAATATTTGAAGTTACGTTTCGCTTACCAGAAACCTCATCATTCAAGCCATTTTTTCATTGTTCTTACAAAGCTCCTGCCAGTTCTTTGCCTTTGAGGGAAATGGACACGAATGTATTCATACCTATTGATTGTAAATATGTAAAAATACCACAGTGAAAATAGGAAATAAAACTTGAACGCTTTCATGTGCTTACACACATATCTTCATAGATATGTGTGAAGATGTGTGTGTAAGCACATGAAACAGCTCAGATTTTATTTCCTATTTTCACTTTGGTATTAAATATATATATATATATATATATATATATATATATATATATATATATATATATATATATATATATATATATCATCAAACAGGCCATATCCCACCAAGGCAGGGTGACCTAAAAAGAAAAACGAAAGCTTCTCTTTTTAACTTTAGTAATGTATACAGGAGAAGGGGTTACTAGCCCCTTGCTCCCGGCATGTTAGTCGCCTCTTACGACACTTATGGCTTACGAAGGAAGAATTCTGTTCCACTTCCCCATGGAGATAATAGCAAATAAACAAGAACAAGAACAAGCAAGAAAATAGAAGAAAACACAGAGGGTGTGTATATATATATACATATGCTTGTACATGCATGTGCAGTGTGAACTAAGTGTAAGTAATAATATTGGTAGAATTACCGACAATGTGTAAAGTAAAAGGACACAAGTGCTACTAATGTGACATTTTATTGTGGCAACGTTTCGCTCTCCAGGAGCTTTGTCAAGCCGGCTTGACAAAGCTCCTGGAGAGCGAAACTTTGCCACAATAAAATGTCACATTAGTTGCACTTGTGTCCTTTTACTTTACATAAGTGTAAGTAGAAGTAGCAAGACGTACCTGAAATCTCGTATGTTTATGAGACAGAAAAAAGACTCTAGCAATCCTACCAACATGTAAAACAATTACAGGCTTCAGTTTTACACTCACTTGCAGGGCAGGACGGTAGTTCCTCCTTGGGTGGCTACTGTCTACCAATCTACATTCACATACATTAAAAATGATTAAGGTGCTAAAACCAAAACGTTATCGGTAAAAAATATTTAAGTAAATAGGTCCGTGTCCCTTTTCTTCAAGTTGTCGGTAGTTTACCCGCCTTCGTAGTACATACTGGCTTCTTCTACCGCCATAACTTTTTTACTGACTTAAAACTGGCCTTCATTGAGCAAAGATATTTCAGATTACCCAGTTAATTTACATCATATGGAGTGAAATAACTTCCATTTTCTTTGAAACTGTGGAGTGAATCAATTTGCATTCCCTTTTGTCACTGAGAAGCAACTTATCTTACTGTGCTCCTCACACGATTCACCGTTGAATCCCACTGTTTATCATCTCCATTTAAGGTGTAGTTAGTCGAGTCAGGCAGCTGACCACCGGTGGGAGAGGATCGAGGCGAATTGCTGGCGAACCTCCTGGTTGTTCCCCAGTATTAGAAATCAACTAATCCTTGCACGATTTTTTTTAACATTTCCAAGGATTACACCAGAGTCACCTCGGTCACCTTCGATTTATTTTCATATACTACAGTCTCTCTCTCTCTCTCTCTCTCTCTCTCTCTCTCTCTCTCTTAGTGTTAGCTGCTTTGTTCCTTTGTATAATCGTATTAATTGTCTCGTTCCCTCTCTTCAGACATGTTAACTGCCTCGTTCCTCTGCCTTGTTTCCACTAATGATGGAAAAAAGACTTATATTATTATATATAATATATATATATATATATATATATATATATATATATATATATATATATATATATATATATATATATATATATATATAAAACTTTCATCATTCTCTTCATCACTGTCTTGCCAGAGGGGTGCTTTGCACTACAGTTATAAAACTACAACATTAACACCCCTCCTTCAGAGTGCAGACACTTTGCTTCCCATCTCCAGGACTCAAGTCCCACCTGCCAGTTTCCCTGAATCCCTTCATAAATGTTACCTTGCTAACACTCCAACTGATTTTCCTGGTGTTCAGGCTGACCATTCTCGTGTTCCTACTGACTTTCTGATTTTTTCTAATGTTCCTACTAACCTTCCTAATGACTCTACTGACTTTCCCATTGCTCCTATAAGCGGACCAGATACCTTCAAGCATACCCAAAATTCTCTCTGGCTTCAATATGCCTAATGGCCTTCCCAAATTCTACTCACGAAGCTGCTCACTGAGTATCCAAGGAGCATCCCTTCTTTCATAATGGGCATTGTATTAAAACTTTAGGCACATAACTCCTTCACGGAGCTAAACTTATGGACTTCCTCTGATGGATTTATGTCAAGGAAAACAGGGATTCTTCTGCGTTTACTTGGTTTTGAGAGTGATGGATATAGGGGGGATCATGAGGCTCAGTCTGTCTGTCTGTTCCTGCATAATTTGAAAATTTTTTTTTGAGACGTATTTGTACCTAATTCTTTAAATTTTTACCTAATGTTAATATACTTCACTGAATGTTCTAGCTTTATATATATATATATATATATATATATATATATATATATATATATATATATATATATATATATATATATATATATATATATATATATATATATATCTGGATTGAATTTGGAGGCACTGAAGGACCATTTGATAACCTTCTTGCCCGAGGATTTCATTTTGATTGGTTCGTCTGCAAGTTTGTCGAGAGGATGTGATTCACTTCAAGAAGTTGACTTTAAGTGAAGTTTATCTTTACGGAGTAAAATTAAAATTCTTATGTCAGCTGTCACTGTCTCTGTCTTTCTCTCTCTCACTTTGAATCAATCTCTCTGTCTTTGTCTCTCTCTCTCTCTCTCTCTCTCTCACTCATCTCTCTCTCTCTCTCTTCTCTCCTCTCTTCTCTCTCTCTCTCCTCTCTCTCTCTCTCTCTCTCACTTCTTTCTCTCTCTCTCTCACTCTGATCATAATCTCTACGTAGGTGCGAATATTGTCACAATTTTTCGTACATTTTGCTTAACTCACAGAGAACTGACGGACAATGAGCTTTTATTATTTTATTTTAATTATAACCTGTTCATACACTGGTCTTCTGTACGTTATTACTTTGAGTTCTTCAGGACTCAGACAGCTATAGACATTTTTTATTATCATAATCATCAAGACTAAAAAGAGCTAGACCTACACTACTTCCATAACCATAATCCTTATGACTGCCCTTCAGGACTCGAAGGAAGAGACTTACTTTCTTTTCCTCAGTCTTCAATCACTCGAAGATCGACACCTGTGATTTTAACTCTTGTTTCTTCAGTACTCAAGCATCGACAACCACACAGGTAATTCATCTTCCTCTAAGAATTTAAGGTCAACATACACTCCCCTAACCCTTCCTCCTCTAAATCTCCAACATCAACACCGACACCTCTGAGTACATTCTTCCAGGACTCCAAGATCGAGACCTACCAGAAGATGTGGCGGTTCATGGAAAACAAGAAACCCAGCGTCTTCGTGCACACTTACGACGAAGGTGTGAGGCGGGTGTTGGAGGGTAACTACGCCTTCCTCATGGAGTCTTCCATGCTGGATTACTACGTCCAGAGGAACTGTAACCTGACGCAGATAGGTGGCCTCCTCGACTCCAAGAGCTACGGCATCGCTACTCCCATGGGTGAGTCAGACACCATAATGAGTTCGCACGTTAAAAGTAATATCTGTTTCATGTGTAAAAACAAAAGTCATGGAAATATTTGTATCGTAGGTAAAGGGTCATGGAAATATCTTTTCTCAAGTAAAAGGCCATGAAAATAACTGTTTCGCAAGTAAAATTAGTGGAAATATCTGTTTCCTTAGTAAAAAGTCGTGGGAATATCTTCAATTGGTTTCGAGATTTTTTTTTTATCCTCGCAGGACGGCATAAGGTGAGAATTCACTGTTGACTGCCTAATTGTTACAATACCGAAAACTATTCCATAATTATCTTCCAGAGAATCCTAGAAAGTCAATCCACTGATACCCTTCTAGCATCTAGCATGTCTTTGACTTCTAACGGATTGCAATTATTATCTTTTAATTCACTGGAGCTGGATTAGTTGCATTTGCTCTTTGTAGTAGACTATATAATAATGTCCCTGAGAGAATAATAATTTGCTACTTAAATCTTGAGATCTTTAATAATCCAAATTGTGATATCTAGGGTAAACATTATATACATTTAAATTAACTGAAGCTGGAATGTTAGTATTCTACATACAATATTAGTAATTGAATTATAAATTTATCTCGTTAGTTTGTACAACAGTACTGTACATTAGCTCTAACTGTGCCCTTAGGCACGTTACTGTACCTGTCAGGTACTTTAAGTACTAACAATAATTAACTGTACCATCTGCCACGTTACTGTATATATGAGTAATTGTACGAGAATAATTAACGAATGTATGTACCGAGAGTGTCAGACTCAACTTAGAATATGACTGACAAAACCAACAAGTCATTAAATAAAGTAAATTTTTACATTAGAGAGACAACAGTCACAGCTTGCTTGAACATCGAAACGACCTGTTCGCCAGACAGCCAAATGTACAAAGCAGCAGTAAGCAGGACAACAGCAGGACAACAGCAGGACAACAGCAGTACAACAGCAGGACAACAGCAGAACAACAGCAGGACAACAGCAGGACAACAGCAGGACAACAGCAGTACAACAGCAGGACAACAGCAGAACAACAGCAGGACAACAGCTGGACAACAGCAGGACAACAGCAGGACAACAGCTGGACAACAGCAGGACAAAAGCAGGACAACAGCAGGACAACAGCAGGACCACAGCTGGACAACAGCAGGACAACAGCAGGACAACAGCTGGACAACAGCAGGACAACAGCAGGACAACAGCAGGACAACAGCAGGACAACAGCAGGACAACAGCTTCCAAACTCCGACTGCGACAGTCTGTAGATACCGGTCTTAGCAAGTTAGATCGAGAGTTAACCCTGGACTTGGATCATGGTGAGTGTCTAAAGGCACAGAAAAATAAAATGTCAAAAGCCACTAATTCTAAATAAGTCTCTGGGAGAAAAGTTCCAAAAAAAATCACAAAGCATGACTCTGTCCACCAACGAGATCATATTCTACTGCAAAATGAGTCTACATCACAACAAGAACAGAGAGAGAGGGAGAGAGAGAGAGAGAGAGAGAGAGAGAGAGAGAGAGAGAGAGAGAGAGAGAGAGAGAGAGAGAGAGAGACTGCAGCAGATGTAGGTATCAGGAAAGGTTTCCTCCGGCCTGGACACACTTTCACAATGCACCACAATCATGAGACGATAGAACAAGCGTGTAGCTGAGTTGAACTGCCACTGAGAACCTGGAATCTGCCAACACAGGAAAGTGTAACGTGTAAAACATCCTGTGTATTAATGAAGTTAAATATATTAAAGATATATGATACACTATAATAAGTATATTTTCGTTTAAATTGTAACAGGTATAATATTTGCTATATAATATTTAATCAAACCCGTATTTATATTATATGTGTCTATATTATCTGAAGACAACACTGGTCAACCAGGCTGTTGGTGCTAGTGTACTGCAGGCCATGGAAACCCAGCTGGTCAACTACTTTCAGGAGGTAGTTGTCCATTTTCCGTTGGAAAGCTAACAGTATTTTTGATATCTGTTTATAAGAGGTTAAAGAGTTTCGGGCGAGGATATTGATATAGTGCTCTCTTACTGTGCCTCTGCAATCCTTGCTTTTCACTGAGTATTACAACGCAGGAGTCACAAAGGACTGTTATCCTGGGTGTAAAGGGAGCAAAATAAACACAGCAGAAAAACTTTTGATAAATTAGACACATGTGCAACTCTTGGGTATCTTTATTGAGGAAACGTTTCGCCACACAGTGGCTTCATCAGTCCATACAAAGGAGAATCTTGAAGAATAGGAGGAGAATGAGGTAATCAGTCTCTCAACCTTGAGTCGATGTGGTCAGTCCATCAATCTTGAATAGAATACGGCATACGTGCTGAGAAGGAGCTTATAAACCGTTGGCAGGAGAGGTGAAGCAGTCAGAGGCAGTGTAACACTTATTCAATGTTGAAGTAGGTCGTGCCCAAGAATTAGGCAAGCGAAGAATTCCCAAGTATTAAGATCCCAAGAAGATGCAGTGTCTGACAGGTTTGTAGATGAATGGTTCAGAGAACCGACATGTTGATAAATTAGACACATGTGCAACTCTTGGGTATCTTTATTGAGGAAACGTTTCGCCACACAGTGGCTTCATCAGTCCATACAAAGGAGAATCTTGAAGAATAGGAGGAGAATGAGGTAATCAGTCCCTCAACCTTGAGTCGATGTGGTCAGTCCATCAATCTTGAATAGAATACGGCATACGTGCTGAGAAGGAGCTTATAAACCGTTGGCAGGAGTGTTACACTGCCTCTGACTGCTTCACCTCTCCTGCCAACGGTTTATAAGCTCCTTCTCAGCACGTATGCCGTATTCTATTCAAGATTGATGGACTGACCACATCGACTCAAGGTTGAGGGACTGATTACCTCATTCTCCTCCTATTCTTCAAGATTCTCCTTTGTATGGACTGATGAAGCCACTGTGTGGCGAAACGTTTCCTCAATAAAGATACCCAAGAGTTGCACATGTGTCTAATTTATCAACATGTCGGTTCTCTGAACCATTCATCTACAAACCTGTCAGACACTGCATCTTCTTGGGATCTTAATACTTGGGAATTCTTCGCTTGCCTAATTCTTGGGCACGACCTACTTCAACATTGAATAAGTGTTACACTGCCTCTGACTGCTTCACCTCTCCTGCCAACGGTTTATAAGCTCCTTCTCAGCACGTATGCCGTATTCTATTCAAGATTGATGGACTGACCACATCGACTCAAGGTTGAGGGACTGATTACCTCATTCTCCTCCTATTCTTCAAGATTCTCCTTTGTATGGACTGATGAAGCCACTGTGTGGCGAAACGTTTCCTCAATAAAGATACCCAAGAGTTGCACATGTGTCTAATTTATCAACATGTCGGTTCTCTGAACCATTCATCTACAGAAAAACTTTTGACTTGTATTATCCTTCACCAATTTAGAACAGAAGTATGTACTCTATATACACTAAGTAAAACAATAGGTATTAGTGCACACCATGGTAAGCAAGGCAGAATAGAAGCCACTAGCGAGCAGACCGTGCTTCAACCAGCTCTAGAATGGGAATGACAAGGGCAGACAGTTGAGTGGTACCCACATCACCTCTGCGATTGCCAAAACCATCTTATCATTGTCTGGAACCTGGGTACTGATTGAACGACGGGGCCCCATCGTTGACCCTCAGTCCCCTGGCTCGCTGGTTAGGGGACATACCCTTTCAATGAGGGTGTGTACATGCGCCGAATAAAGGTTACGTACTCTTTGCATGCCACACTGAGTCTATTCTGCGCTTCCTCCCACATGTAAGAAGCCAGTATGTTGATATGACAGCGTAAAAATGAGAGACCAGATCCTCAAGTATTTTTCAATAGGTATGTATTGCTTTGCATCACTTTTCCGTTCGCGACAGAACAGCCTAGGTGAAGTATACCCTAGTCAATTATGCTGCCATGGCTTATACTCTAGTGAATTATGTTGCCATGGAGTGTACTCTAGTGAATCTTGCTGCCATGGAGTGTATTCTAGTGAATCATGCTGCCATGGAGTATACTCTAGTGAATTATGTTACCATGGAGTGTACTCTAGTGAATCATGCTGCCATGGAGTGTACTCTAATGAATCTTGCTGCCATGGAATATGCCCCAGTGAATTATGCTGCAATGGAATAAGTACACTTTAATGAATTATTCTGCCATGGAGTATACTCTAGTGGATTATACAGCAGTGGAGGTTCCTCTAGTGAAGTTTACGCTCATTGGGAAGCTCTAAACCGGTTAGGGTCGTACAGCGTTTGAGTAATGGGAAGTAATCGGCTTTTGTCCAAAGAAAGATAGCGATGACCAAATGTTTTCGAACAGAAACTCTTCACCATCATCAACAAGGTGTCCTTCCTCGAAGGACACCTTGGTGCGATCTTATTTATGCACCCAAAACCTGTATATCTAATAGCTTTATTCTCTATTTATCCAGGCACATCTACACACTCTTTTTCTCATGCTCCACCTAGCTATAGACCCGAGCTCAACCTAGATCTACACCCCAGCTCTGTAACCTAGCCATGATCTCCTAGTTTTATAGCAAAGCTAACCAGTCCTTGCTCTATAACCAAAGTAAATACCCTAAGTTATATATTCCAGTTATATTCCTCTAGTTGTATATACCACATATATAACCAAGGCTATATATCTCAGCCATAAAGCTCCCAGCTCTGCCTACTGGGTTTGGCTGTATAATTGGATTAGATTCCCATCATTCTAAGAAAATTAGGTGCAAATTAGACCCCTTAATTACTATGCATAGCAACCCTTCTCTCCCCCCTCTCTCCCTTGCCCTCATAAAGCAGTTCATCACTGCTGGTTCTGCTGGTTCTAAAGGCTCTGCTGGTTCCAATGGTTCTGCTGGTTCTAATGACTCTGCTGGTTCTGCTGGTTCTAATGGCTCTGCTAGTTCTGCTGGTTCTAATGGCTCTGCTGGTTCTGCTGGTTCTAATGGCTCTGCT